TCAAAGAAATATTTCATTTAATAACAATGTTTATTTTTTCGAATACTAATAAATTCGTCAGACTCAATATACACTTCGAAATAATTCTATAATATTGGGAATTTCTATACTTTCTATAGTTGTTCTTTACAATTTCTGCTTACCAGTATTTTCTTTAAATATTTAAAATTCTTTTCGTTTTTAAACATATTTACAGTCACACTCATGAAAATGTGTAACATCGCTTTACTTTGTCTACCAACAAAATATAACGCAGGTAATTTACTATTTATATTATTAATGTATAATCAACGAAAATGATGAATTTCTTTTTTTAGTCCTACCAGTTTACTAAATATAATTACAATATTCAATTAAGATACGTGTCCGAATGTTTATTAACACATGGCCGTCTCCGTTCTCATTTCTTGTGTTTGCCAATGCTATATTTACATTTACACATTTATGAACCACAGGAAATACTTGCACTCTATGTATATCAATAAGAGTAAACAAGTTAATGTTTCTGATGGAAAGAAAAGAAAAGAAAACATTGATTACACGTGTACATTACAAATACGCTGTTTAGAAGTACGTCCACCTTAATATTTATCGATTTTGCACAGTACTATTTTAATTATAATTTTTGAAACACACAAGAAAAGCAACTGTTCTTTACGCTCATGGTTCCATTGCACAGTACATCTCAAAATATTTTTGTATGTATATCGATTTCCGAATAAAGATTCTAAGACTCACATTGTGTATAGATTACAGCTAATTACATCGATTTTATTGATGCGATGTTTGACGTATCTATTGAACTGCATTTTATAAAATGGTCTCCTTAAAATATAAGTGCAACATAATGTCTGTTAATTATACTTCACAAGATGAACGTTCATATGAATCACTGTACTGGATATTAAATTATTATTCTAATATAGGAAAATTTATATTATAATTAGACTGTAAATATTTATGCATTTATATTAATTTGAACAGCAAAACGTAGTACTCAAAATAGTTCAATGAAGTGTAATATTTTCTTTTTTACAAATTTGTGTTTGTAATGATACATCTGTCTGCATAAATATTGACAATCTAACTATAATTATTAATTTCACATATTAAGTACATACCTTAGAGAAATGAAAAGTTCTTTGATGTGCTTATGAATAAAAATTACAAACACAAATACATGTAATTTTTAAGAATTGTATAATATACATGCTTGAATTGAAAGCTAGTCTTATATTCTCAATCA